AGTCTCTAACACTTAAAAGGGCAACAGAAGCTCAACAAGAGACACGCACAGTGGCTAGAATTCATAGAAACGTTTCCCTATGTGATCAAGTACAAACAAGGTAAAGACAATGTAGTTGTCGATGCATTGTCTCGGAGGTATGCCTTGATCTCTACTCTTGATGCTAAGATTATAGGATTTGAACAGCTCAAACACATGTATGCCTCCGATTCTGACTTTGGAGAGAAGTATCAATCTTGTGAAAAGTTTGCTAAGGACCATTACTTTAGGCAAGATGGTTTTCTTTTCTATGATAACCGTTTATGCATCCCTAACTGTTCTATTCGAGATCTGTTAGTCAGGGAAGCACATGGAGGAGGCCTTATGGGTCACTTCGGTATTACCAAGAAAGTGATGCAGGATCACTTTTATTGGTCGCACATGGAAAGAGATGTGGAGAGAATCTGTGAGAGATGTGCAACTTGTAAACAGGCTAAGTCTAAGGTTAAGCCTCATGGTTTGTACTCTTCCATAACTATTCCTTCTCATCCTTGGGTTGACATGTCTATGGACTTCGTGCTTGGTTTTCCTAGGACTAAAACAGGAAAAGATTCCATATTCGTTGTAGTAGATAGGTTTTTCAAAGGTGGCTCATTTCATTGTATGTAACAAAATAGATGATGCATCTCATGTAGCTAACCTGTTCTGCAAAGAAGTAATTCGTTTACATGGCATGCATAGGACCATTGTTTCTGATCGTGATACTAAGTTTCTTTGTTATTTCTGGAAAACATTATGGTCTAAGCTAGGAACTAAGCTCCTGTTCTCTACTACATGTCATCCACAAAATGACGAACAAATTGAAGTAGTCTATAGAACTCTGTCTACTTTACTGTGTGCATTAGTTAAGAAGAATTTTAAGTCATGGGAAGAATGTTTTCCTCATGTTGAATTCGCATATAATCACTATATGCATACGGCTTCTAAGTTTTCCCCATTTGAGATTGTTTATGGCTTTAATCCTATAACTCTTTTGGATCTAACTCCCATTCCTTTGAGTGAAAGATCTAGCCTTGATGGGCATAAGAGAGCTGAGTTAGTGAAACAGATCCACGAGAAAGCCAAGAAAAATATAGAGGAAAAAACTAAGTTCTATGTTGAATAAGCCAACAAGAAACGGTGAGAGATGATCTTTGATGTTGGTGATCAAGTCTGGGTTCACCTAAGGAAAGAAATATTCCCAGCAGAAAGGAGATCCAAGCTTATGCCGAGGGTTGATGGTCCATTCAAAATCACAAAGAAGATTCATAACAACGCTTATCAACTTGATCTTCAAGGTAAGTATAACATTAGTCCTAGTTTCAACGTTTATGATCTTGCTCCTTTTTGTGCAGATGATCCAGATTTGAGGTCAAATCTTTTTCAAGAAGAGGGGGATGATGTGATTCTGGAAAGCTATCGAAACTTGGAGTTAGAACTAGAAGATGGAGAGCAAGTAGCCAAGGAGCAAGAAGGTGTAGTTAAGCAAGAAGATCCCTTAAGCGTTCCAAGTGGCCCAATGACTCGATCAAGAACTAAGAAACTTAAGCAAACCATTGGAGCTATCATCAAAGGACTTGATCCGATTCAAGAGGGAAAACAGCTGATCACAAGCACACTGATTGCGATCCAAGTCCAAGACGGCTAAGTGGGCTTGAGATCAAGGCTTCTACTTTTTTCCCTATCTCAAGTTTTGTCCCAATGGGTTTTCTTGAGATAGGTTTTTAATGAGGCAAGAATGGGTCTCTAATTTGCCTAAGTCCACAAAGCCTTAAGCCCAAGCTGTGCCGAGTAAGAGGAGCGTTTAAATCAAATTCAAACTTGCCAGCTTGTTCTTTGTTTATTTTCGAGATGTGTTTAATGTTTGCAAGACTCATCTCTTCCTTCTTTCTTCTTTATATTCTCTTGTAACCCTTTGTATCAAAGCATCTTATCTTTTTATTCTCAAACTCTTTTTCAAAGAATAATATCATGTTTGCTCAAACAACTTGAATCAACTCTGTGTGTGTCATATCACTTAAGAGATTCAAGTCGGCGTATCAAAAGTGTTCCACAGCTCTTGTTTGTGTCCATTCACTTCCCCATCCCTTGATTCAAACTTTGTTTGTTTGCAAGGCATATCCCTTTTGTATTCCAGTCATTAGTATCGATCAAGGGCAGATTCTATCCAGGATCACATCAATAGTTAACCGAGATCTCTTTATCATTATCAATGATATCATTCGGGTACCTGATTTTATTACTAACCATATCAACGGGTCTCTTCAGGAGATTCATCATCTTTTCAACATATATTTTTTCCTTTCCTTTTGAGGATTTTATATTTGGAATCAAAGTATTCTATCATGTTTCTTACGTGCCATAGACTCTTTATTGATAAATCGTCCTTCAGGGACATATTCTTGGAGCATTTTGAACTAGAATTGAGATTTTCTTTCATTGTATGTCTGACATTTACATATGAATTATCCTTTAAACTTCAGGTTCAAAATCATTTATATGAGGATCCATAATGATAATTCATTTCATGAAATCTTATTCATTAGCTCTTCCATACCAAAACATGACACATGTAGATATTTCAGCATTGTTGATCTTGCTATCTTCTGAATCGTTTTATAAATTATCCATAAAACCCATTTTAAGTGTGAACATAATCTTCAGGATGTTCCACTACTTTTGATATAAGATTATTTAATTCTCCCCCTCGAAATGATGATACTTCAAGTTCATCCATCTCGAAATGAATCCAACTTTAGGACCAAAACATATCTAAATAACCCATCTTTGAGCTTTGTATTATGCATCAAATCCTTTTGTGAGAATCTTTATACTTTCTTTGAGACGTTGGCTTTATTTGCCCATTCATCTTAACCTGATTTTTGGTTTTAGATCTTTTATATAATTTGGGGGACTTTTAAAGAAATCCAACCACTATATCTAGTAATCGTTCAACCAAAAATGGTGATTCATCTCTCATGATGGTCCATTTTTCTTTTCATCAAGACATGCTATGTGTGAAAAACTTCAGGTTTTTCCAAATAAATTTTCAATACCATTATTACACCGGGATGACTTAAACCGGTTATGTTATATATTAATAAACTTCAGGTTTATCATTTTAAACAATTTTTGCCATCTTTAAGCATGTCTCCATCATTACTTTTCTAGAATGTTTCGTTCTACTGGAGCGTTTTTCTTATTTGGAGCGTTTCGCTCTTTTGGAGTTTTTCACTATCTTTGAATCTCTCTCTTCAAGAGTGTATAGTTCTTCAAGAGTGTATACTTATTCAAGAACTTCTAACTTTTCATGAATTTCCAGCTCTTCGAAATTTCTTATTTTTTTGGAGCTTTTTAACTCGTGAAGCTTCTGGAACTTTTACCTCTTTAGGAGCTTTCTAGTTTTTGTAAAAATTTTAAAACTTTTCAGCTCTTCTAGTGCTTTTAGTTTCCAGAGCTTTTTAGCTCTTTTAAAAGTTTTTAGTTATTCCGAGGCTTCAAGCTCTTCCAAATTTTCTAGTTCTTCTGGAGCGTTTTCTACTCTTCTGATGCTCAAATTATTTTCAAATTATAATAATTCATCTGGAATTCACATATTTAATTAACACAAAAATAAATCAAATAGTTAAACATATTAATAATTAAACGATAGTAAACATAAATTTAAAAACTATAATTAAAACAATCAACTTCTAGATAAAAATTTTTATAGTTCTTCTGGAACGTTTTAATATGTCTTTTGGACATTTATATTTATGAAGTTCTTCGGGAACTTTTACAAATATGTCTCGAGAAAAATATTTTATGTGTCTCTTTCATAGAATTAAAGAAATGTACTAAAATTTGTAAAAACAGAATTTGAGCAATAGAGGAGGCAAACCTTTCATAAGTAAACAATAATAAACAAAAATTAAAAACAATAATTAAAGCAAATTTTCATCATTTGATCAAAATATATTATGCAGTTTTTCAGGAACGTTTTAAAGTATATCTTCAGGTTATACTTTTTATATAGTTCTTTTAAAATTTTACATATATGTCTTCTAGACTTTTTTTTTTCATTCAGTTCTTCAAGAACTTTTATGAAATGTCTTCTATACATTTTTTTTCAAACGGTTTAAATGGTTGCAAAAAACCTGCAGAATTATGTTTAAGAATACAATTCCATTATTCTGCAGCTTATCTCTAGCTCACCAAAACCTAAATTTTAATTATATATTTTCAAGCAATTCAACCCAAAATAATATAATTTTTATCTATATTTTATTTTTACTCATATCATGTTTATGATTTCTAAAATAGTAGAGTAACTTTCCTAATTACCTTACTACTAATCTTAAAAATAAATTATTTATTTAATAAAAAAATTATTTAAAAAAAAAATTAATACCAAACAATCAAACAAATTATCATATTTTATAATTAATTATGTATATATATATATATATATAAATATATTTATAAAATATTATGTCAAATAAAACCTGCGCATATTACAAATCTAATACATAAAATAATAGTTGCCAAGATAAGTTGGCAAGAGGCGGTGATAAATATATGTAGATAATTATTTATTTAACATTTTTTTGGGGGTTTTTTAGTGTTGCTGCTTGATCTGGTTTCCACTTTTCAATTATTGTTTGTCCTGCATTTTCTTAATCGTGCGATATCGAATAATAAAAGTAAAATAGAAAAGAATAAAATATTTTAGCATATGGATACTTCTCTCCAGGGCCGGCCCAAATTCCTTGTGCGCCTAAAGCCCAATTTCAAAATGATGCCCATCAAATAAAAAAAGAAGGCAAGTTAAAAAACTGAAAAAAAATGCAGACATAAAAGTTTGAACTCCAAACATTAAGGAAACAGAAATATTGTTCAAACCACTACACTAAAAAAAAATTTGTTAAAAATGATGTCCTTAAATTTGATATATAATTTGGCGCCTAAAACCCTTGCTTTATGGACTTTAGGTCAGGGCCGGCCCTGCTTCTCTCAGCTCTTAACTGTCGAAATTTGCCATTGAGTGAGATCGTGAGAGAGAGAGAAATAATGGCGGTGGCGGCGAGCCTAGGTTCACTTCTGGAGAAGCTCAAAGTGGAGGAGCCATTCCTTCCACCGCGAAATTGGGAATCCTTACATTCTGAGAGCGGCCGATTTCCTCCTCGAACTCGTGCTTCTGCTTCTCCTTCGTCTTCTTCCTCCGTCGCTGTAAGTTTAGTGCCACAAACTAATTATCGCTTGTCATGTATGTTTGTGTGGAAATTGGGAACTTTTGTATATCTGTTTTTTTCTACTAACTGCGTGGCTTGGATCGAAAACCAAATAGGGGATTTAGTAAAGTATCAGTTTTGGTGATTGAGTTTTATTAGGATCAATTTAAGGGGTTTGGGTTCCGAAATTTGATAAGATGATAATTTGTCATTTGCTAGTGCTCTGAGATTAGTATTGTTATCAAGGGGAAAAAGTTAGTATATCATGCGGCTAAGTAACTGAGACTACTTCTCACATTTTTCAGACATTTTGTTGCTTGTAATAGGAATCAAGCTTGGTTAGGTTGGCGTTGAATGCTCTGCAAGGTGTTGAGTCTTCTCTTATTAGCATAGAGAAGCTCTCTTCTCTATTATGCTCCGAGCCAGCTGACAGGACCACCAACAAAATTCCGAGCTTGTGGCATCGGTTGTCAAGCACTTATGCATTGGGACAGATTGTTAGAAACATAGGCTGCTTTGGTTCTTTGGTCTTTCTTCTCCGTAAGTTCATAGACCATTTCACAAGCTTGAATTTGTGTGTGGAAAATGAAGATGTTTCTTCTGATAAAGCCAATTGCAAGAGCTGCTATACTCTTGTTAACCAGGCTTTTGCTATTGCTGTAAGAAAGGTCCTAGAAGGCTATATATCTGGACTGGATACATTATGTGCATCTATAGAACTGAGGCGTTCATCAAACTTTGTGGATGAGTCTGACCATGGTTCCTCATGGTTAGGCTGCCTTACAAACGTCGTTCATCCAAAGATAACCTTATTGGAAGTTTTGTTACATACTACAGAGTTTCGAACACAGATTGAAGCTCTTGCCAACATATGTGATTTGTATGATATATCCATATCCTATTGTGGCTCTCCTTGGCAATGTCTGATTACTGAAGCAACCGCGCGATTTAATGGGTTCTACAGAGGAAGCGACCTGCTTACTTACTTATATTCACAACTAAAGGTCAGGCTGACATATGTTCCTCTTTCAATATTCATCCTCTTTGTTTTTTTTTCTTCTTTCCTGGTGCACATAGTTATCAGTTAATGTTAGCCTTGAGACACCTTCGGTGTTAGTTATTTCCCATTCATATTTCAGTGATGGTTGGCTTGCATCTCTGTACTCTAGCAATATTACGTCCTGGATTTACAGTTTTAAAAATCTGAAAGACGCATCAAATAGTTCTTTGCACCTTTTTATGTGGACCACTTGATATACATAGCCTGGCGTGTCTGGAACTAGCACTCACTTAAACTATGAGCCAGGAGTTTGTACAATTTAACAATTTTGTTCTCACTATCTTTTCCCGATATATTTTGTTGTAGGTTGCTGATCCTGCTCACAGTGCTTTGCTTAAGTTTTTGTTCCTCAAAACATGTGAGCCATATTGTGAGTTTATAAGATCTTGGATATTTAAAGCCGAACTAAATGATCCTCATAAGGAGTTCATTGTGGAATGTGTCAGTGAATCGATATCGTTTTCTTGGAATAAGCCTGGCATCTCGCCACTGAAGAGGGTCAGGGTAATACTATTTCTCTCTTTCTGTATCTTTGATTTTAGTATCTTCCATTAATTTCAGATTGGTTCCATATCTGCACTCTAGGAACAAGAAGGAGGGCTTGTTCCGTGTTTTTTGGATGGCTTCTTGGTACCCATACTAAGGGCTGGTCAACAGCTTCAAGTTATCACAAAACTTCTTGAATTGTGTAATCTTCCTGTCTCTGGACACAAAAATTATGCAGATCTTCTTCCCTGTTGGACGCATTATTCTACCACCAGTCCATTGTACCCAGCTCCAATAAATTTCAGCAAATTGCATATAGAAGTGATGATACAGAAAAGAGACGATTACTACAGAATAATGCATGAAAAACTTGGTGACTTTTCAAAAAAGTTTGAACTGTTCCTTTGGGCAGGTATCATGCTTATTTTTTTATTATTATTTACCAATCATTAGCTCTTACTATTATTTCGAAAGCTATCATCTTTTTGGTTTGTGTCTGATGATACTCTTTCATTGCTATGATTATAGGTTCCAGGAGCAATATCTTTACCAATATCCAATGGCGAGGCAGAAAAAAATCAGAAAAGTCCTGTTTATTTCATACTGGGGGAAAGTTTAGTAACTCGTTCAACAGAGGCAATGGACGTGACTGGGTATTCTTCCTCATTCTATGTATCATTTACCCGTAGTCTGCTGAACGTGATTAATGACATTTTCTTGGGATTCCAGGGACCAGAGTGACTCAGATTCTGATGACCAGAAAACAGAAGACAAATGGTTTTCAGAGATAGACGTGTCATGCTCTTCTGAATGCTCATCGACTAGGGACTCTTTGGAATCATCTGATGTTGGACTCCTTGATTCACAAAGTACATTAGCGGGACCTTCACAAAATTATTTATCAGCTCTTCGTTTCTCTGTTGCCTCCGATGGGAAGTGTAATCAGAATCTGGTTCAGCATAGTGAATCACGCAATGTAGATAATAGTGTTGTGAGGACAGGTCAAAAAGCAGACACTAATCGCCAGTGGATGAATACGGACCCAGAAGAGTCAACTGAAGTCTGTGAGGGTGATAAATTTCGAAGGCCTCTTTCTACTAAGTTCTGGCCCCTTGGCGGATTACCTAGAAATCCGTTTTGTGCTGATAAGTACATGGAAGATGACAGAGATTATCCACCAATTGATTCAGGAGGTAAGATGGAACAGATGGACTTAGTGAATACTGATGAAAGCACGTTATTATTAAACAACATTCCCACTGGTGGTGGTTATTCGAAGCAGGAGAGAAATCATGATTTGCATGAAAACTGTTTCTCATCAGAATTAGATTTGTTGAAAGATACAAAGGTAAACTACCCGTACGAGGTGCTCAGTATGAATCCTGTGCTGAGATGTGATTTCTTGCGCAAGCATAGAAACACAAACATGAGAGACCAGGGGAAATTATTGCCTTTGTTTGATTTTTCGGCGGTGGATGACCCTTCCAAAACATGTCTTGCCAGGATACCTGTAAGATTCCCTATAAATTGTTACGTGGAATCTCAGAGTTCTCAGATTGATAGAAAAAGTCATCGCCATGCCAACCAAGAATTTGGCATAGACAGGTTTGATGTTGAAGATCCGAAAGCTTCTTGCAGTCATCTATCTTCAGGCTTAAAAGTTTGCGCTGAAGAAAAAAAATCAAATATATCTGGTGGAAGCAGATGGGAGGGTATGCTTCTCAGATCAAATAACTCTGAAACTAGTGCATTTAGTGATTGCAGACAGAACGCCTCTGCCACATTTGAATTGCCACTTGATTTTGTTATCGACCAGTGTCTACTGCAGGAAATACTTCTTCAGTATCCTACCTAATGCCTTCATCTACTATAGATATCCATATTTAGGTTTATCTTTTGACATTTGGCTGTCATTTTCTTTTTAGGGGTGTTTTTCAAATCATAACATGTCTTTATTATTCATGTATCACTTTTCCCTTAACAAACAAAAGATATAACTTTGTTAGTAAGCTAGCTATCAAGTTGCTCGATGAAGGATTCGGCTTGCAAGAACATCTGCTAGCTCTGCGCAGATATCATTTTATGGAGCTAGGAGATTGGGCAGATGTATTTGTAGTGTCCCTATGGCATCATGTAAGTCTGCTTTCAATCTAATTCATTGTAATGATTCTTTTTAATATCTCCTGATAATGCTTATTTATATATTCTCTCATTTGGATTCCCAGAAATGGCTTGTTACAGAGCCAGAAAAGAGAATTGCAGAAATCCAAGGGTTTCTGGAATCATCGATACAGAGATCATCATGTGAACGAGATAATTGCAAGGACAGGTTATTTTTGTACAAAAGACAAGGCACAATGCATCTCCCCCCATCTGCCATCGGTATGGTCTTCGACTTAGCAAATTAATTACCAATATCCCTGGCAAATTGTTAATCTGATACTGATGTGTGGGAATTTGTTGCAGGAGTGCGTTCTTTTGACTTCCTAGGGTTAGGGTATCAAGTTGACTGGCCAATCAGTATAATTTTAACACGTGATGCGTTGAATGCATATGCTGATGTATTTAGTTTTCTGGTTCAAGTGAAACTAGCAGCATATGCATTAACTGATGTATGGTGCTCACTAAAGGTAAAGGTTTAGCTTTGTTTATTCGCAGCTTGAAAATTGATTTTATAATGTTCTGCCGGATATCTCTCGTAGCCTTCATCTTCTGGGATTTTGATGGCACAATGACTGTAATGTCCTTTTAGGATTTACGACATATGATGCATGACAATAAAGAGGGGATAGCGAAACAAGAACTCCGGTGGATAAACATATTGATGAAACTAAGGTAAACTCATAAAGAAAAGTTTTACACTTTCATAACTTCTTGGTGACGCGACTACATGAGCTTAGGTATGATGATGAGATCTTTTTTGGTATACCATTTAAACGAATGAGAGACATTGATATCACTCCATGCAGTATCTGTGAAAATGCTTACAGTCTTTTGATAAAACCCTGTATTGTTTCTCTCTTCTTCACTGTGCTCGTATGATACACAATGCAATTTTCTGATCATGGTGTCTAAATGTTGGGTATCTTTGACGCCTTTCTTCTATGTGCTAGGCATCAGTTCAGCCATTTTGTATCAACACTACAACAATATGTACATTCGGAGTTGTCTCACGTATCATGGTCCAAGTTCCTTCATTCGCTGAAGCATAAGGTCTGGGCACATCTTACACTCTACACTTTATTTGGTCAAAATATAAATATGCTTCTGTGATGACCTGTTTAAATTGTTATATTACCTAAAAGTAGGATTCTTTGTTTGATTGTTGAGTATGAGCGCCTCAAGCGAACTTCGGTAACTATAGCCTATTGATACTCGTAAAGTGCATAATGTAGTATATACTTATATCGCGATTTCAGTGGCGGTTTTCTCTTCAATTGGTTTCCTGCGTAAGAATTAAGCATCCCACTTCCTCTGGTTGTTCAGGTCAAGGATATGATGGATCTTGAGTCTGTGCATATGGTTTATCTAAGTGAAGCTTTGCGCATGTAAGTCTTGTTTTTTTTTTATCGGTTTTAGAAGCCATTTTTTATCGGTTTTAGTTGTACCATTTCTGGCATTTTAATTTTGAGTTTTGACTGACTTGATTTAACCGCCCATTTTCAAACACTTGCCAGATGTTTCCTATCTGATGAATCCCGAGTCATATCTAACATCATAGAGAACATCTTACAATGCGCGCTGGACTTCCGGTCTTGTCTTCCCCGAGGCACTCAGAGGACAGGTCGAGTTCCAAACGACGCATGGACTAAAACGTTAGGCATAAACACATCTCAGGTAAAAGAAGAAGCTATCATCAAATCCTTCTTTCCGCGGGTGTTTTGAGTTTTGGTGCGAGAGCTGAGATTGTTTTCTATTCACATTAAAACAGGTGATGATAGTGAAGCAGAAGTTTGACAAAGAGTTGAAAGATCTGCATTTGTGTCACCTGAAATCACCAAAACATGGGAGGTTTGGGCTCTCTCGCTTCTGGGACTGCCTTAATTTCAACCTTTATTATTCAGATATCCTTCATGACACTAACATCTTCGCTCTTATTCCTTAGTAACCAATATGGTAATACTTGAGTGTTGTTAATTTTCTTTGTAAAATTTGAGTCATCTCCATATTTTTGTGTTTCTTTCAAGACAGTTTTGAGACTCAAATAATTGAGCTCTCTTATTAAAGTTATTCTTTTTTTGGGTGGTAGAATCATTAAAGTTGTTTCCCGTCACTCTAAAAAGACTAAGATCTGTACATTTTTATGTAAAACATGTTTTGTTTTAATTTAATATTGGTCACACAAATGATTGACTTGTTCAAATCTTCTATTGAATTATGTAAATCTCAGGATAGTTAATCTGCCAGTTCGTAGTTTGAGGTCATAGCTCGTTAACTGAAAACTCATACTTGGATCTTATTAAGAGATAATGAACTTATTAGGCCATGTATTAACTCAATATTAATTAGTTTATTTGTTTTGTCCCACATTGCTAGTTACTAACTTAAGGGTAATTAATGTACATGTATATATATATGTGTTTTTAGGCTGATGAATAAAGCACTTCTGCAAATTACTTTGACATGGTATCAGAGTCAAAAACCATATAACGTTTTGGTCTATCTCTTGAATCAGAGCCTAAGGCTACATAAAGTTTTGGTCTAACTTTTGATTCAAATTCTTGTTATGAGTTGTGGTTTAGTGGAAAGCAAACCGACGAGGTTTTGCTCTTTTGTTTTGGTGGTGAACTCGGACCGACGAAGTTCGTTATTTCTGTAGAGCCATAAGGGCTTGAGATTTATTTACTCGGTAAAGAAACTTTGGAGATTTCTCCGGTTTCAAAAAATATGAGATTTCAGAGTCGAAGAATTATGTGTTCTTATTGTTCGAAGTATGGTCATGATGTGAGATCATGTTATCAGGTATATGGATATCCAGATTGGTGGCTGGAGAAGTATGAAAAACTTACGAAACATGTGTTACACACTGAAAAACGTGTGTCACACACTGAGGCGTCGCATGTTGATGCACAGGCTGTAACAGGGCTCAAGAAAGATCAATGGCATAAGCTTTTTCAATGGCTTGATTCGAGATTAGAGATAGCAAATCGTGTGAGTGATAACACCTATACAGATGAGTGGATTATTGATAGTGGCGCGTCCCACCATATGACGGGTACGTTCAGTAATATGTTTGATGTGCATAAAGTCTCACCATGTTTAGTGGGTCTGCCTAATAGAAATGTTGTGGTTGCTGATAGAGAAGGAAGTGTGGCATTGACGGAGAAGTTAACTTTGACACATGTGTTTTTTGTCAAGGAACTCAAGTGCAATCTCATCTCCGTGTCACAGATTATTGATGCAATGAATTGCATTGTGTTATTTTCTAAGCAAATGTGTCGGGTACAGGATCCTGCTTTGTAGATTCCGATTGCAGTGGGTGAAAGAAAAGATGGATTGTATTTTCTTCAAGGTATTCAGAAAATCGTGAATGTGGCAAAGGTCAGTAAGTTGGGATCTTTGGAACTTTGGCATAAAAGGATGGGACATGCTTCTGAAAAGGTTATTAGGAGATTGCCAGAAGTGGATCAAAAGAGTGTTGGTGTTTCCGATTGTGATGTCTGTTTTCGAGAAAAGCAGTGTCGGAATGTATTTCCTATAAGTACAGAGAAAAGCAAAGAGTGCTTTGAAATGATTCATTGTGATATGTGGGGGCCATATCGAACACAGAGCGTGTGTGGGTCTTCTTATTTCTTAACTATTGTGGATGATTATTCTAGAGCTGTGTGGGTTTTTCTTCTTGCTGATAAAACACAAGTTCAGAAAACAATGGTAGATTTCTTTGCTCTCATTCAGCGACAGTTTGAGAAACATGTGAAAATCGTGTGAAGTGATAATGGTAGTGAATTCATAGGTATGAAGGATTATTTTCGTACATCAGGGATAATTCATCAAACTTCGTGTGTGGGAACTCCTCAACAAAATGGGAGAGTGGAGTGAAAACATCAACATATACTGAATGTCGCACGAGCGTTGAGGTTTCAGGCAAATTTACCAATAGAATTTTGGAGTTATTGTGCTTTGAGTGCTGCGTATCTAATCAACCGTACGCCTTCTGTGTTACACAATGGTAAGAGTCCTTATGAAATCATCTTTGGGAAAGCTCCTGCTTATAGTGAGATACGAGTTTTTGGATGTTTAGCATATGCTCAAAATCAGAAACGTCATGGGGATAAATTTGCTAGTAGAAGCAGAAAATGCGTATTTTTAGGATATCCTTATGCAAAGAAGGGATGAAACTTATTTGACTTGGACACACATGAGATATTTGTTTCTCGGGATGTCACTTTTATTGAGGAACGCTTCCCATATTTGGAGCTAAAAAATACACAGCTGGATGAGCCTTCTAATTCTGATCATACGAGGTTATATGTAGATGATAATGTTGGTTTTAACGATATAGAACCTGCCATGGCAAGAGAAATTATACAACCTCTCACAAGAGATATAATGACACAAACTCTGGTTGTGTCAGACAAGGTTGCAGAATAAGAAAGACATACTATAGGAAACGAAATATGTGATATCTTAGGAATTATGGTGCCACAGAATGAACCTCCATCAGTTACACAGTCTGAGAATATGCAGCCTGCTTTAGTGACATAACCTGCATCGGAGACACAGGCTGAAACTATGCAGCCTGCTTTAGTGACTGAACCTGCATCGGTGACACAGGCTGAAACTGTGCAACAGCCTGCATCAGCAGAATTTTTGGGAAGAGGAATGAGAAAGAAAAAAACTTCTGTCAAGTTACGTGATTATGTGTGCAATACGACATTTACAATGAATAAATCAACTGTGAGTCAGGAGTTGAGTAATGATTACGGTATTGAAAATTATGTGAATTGTGAAAGATTCTCTATGTCCCACAAGGCATTTCCGTGTAGTATTACTCAAGGAGTTGTGCCGAAATTTTTTGCTGAGGCTATGAAGGATCCGCGATGGAGAGAAGCTATGAGACTGGAGATTGAGGCCCAAGAACGAAATCAAACATGGTTGATTGAACACTTACCACCAGGTAAGCATGCTATTGCGTGTAAATGGGTTTACACAATTAAGTATAATGCAGATGGCTCGATTGAAAGGTATAAGGCGAGACTTGTGGCATGTGGCAACCGTCAAAAAGAAGGGATTGTTTAGTCTGATACATTTGCTCCTGTAGCAAAGATGAGCACAGTTCGATTGGTTCTTCAAGTTGCAGCTGGGAAAAATTGGGAGCTACATCAGATGGATGTGCACAATGTGTTTCTTCATGGGGATTTGGATGAAGAGGTGTTTATGAGGGTACCTCAGGGGTTTGGTGCTTCTAAGAAGGGTATGGTATGTTTTTTGCGCAAGTCGCTGTATGGTTTGAAACAAGCTCCGCGATGTTGGTTCGCGAAACTTTCGAAGGCACTCTTGGGGTATGGTTTTACACAGAGTAAAGTTGATTACTCTCTTTTCTCATTAGTTTGTGATAAAGTTCACTTGCACGTTCTAGTGTATGTGGATGATCTTGTGGTGACAGGAAGCTCTCCCGAGGTGATACAAAAGTTTAAAACATATTTAAGCAATTGCTTTCATATGAAAGATTTGGGAAAATTGAAATATTTTCTTGGATTGGAAGTCGCAAGAAATGCAGAGGGTATATACTTATCACAAAGAAAGTACGCTTTGGATATTATTGCTGATGTTGGTTTGCTTGGTGGTAGACCTGTAGAGTTTCCGATGGAGCAAAATTATCAGTTGGGAAGGTCGATGACAAAGATACTTGCTGATCCAGAGAAGTATCGGAGACTTGTTGGAAGGTTGATTTACCTGGCCGCGACTAGACCAGATCTTGCCTACTCAGTTCACATCTTGTCTTAATTTATGAATGAGCCAAGAGAGGATCATTGGATGGCTGCATTGAGAGTTTTTTGTTAATTGAAAGGGTGCCCGGGAATGGGAATTTTATTGAAATCTGATTGTAATTTCCATTTTACAGCTTGGTGTGATTCACATTGGGCTGGATGTCCAATCACGAGGAGATCTTTGAGTGGATGGTTAATACAGTTGGCAAAATTCTCCTGTGTCATGGAAGTTCAAAGAAGCAGGACGTTGTATCATGCTCTTCAGCTGAAGCAGAGTACCGAGCTATGGTTTTGGCATTGAAAGAGTTGAAATGGATAAAGAGTGTGTTGTTAACGATGGGTATTGCACATTCTGGTCCAATGGATTTATATTGTGACAGCCAGTCTGCACTTCATATTGCAGTTAATCCTGTGTTTCATGAGAGAACGAAGCATGTGGAGCTTGATTGTCATTTCATTAGAGACGATATACAAGCTGGAATTTTTCAAACTCAACATGTTTCTACTACTCAACAGTTGGCGGATATCTTCACTAAAGCACTTGGAGGACGTCCGTTTAAAGAAATTTTGTGCAAGTTGGGCATTCGAGATCTCCATGCTCCAATTTGAGAGGGGGTATTAAGAGATAATGGGCTTATTGGGCCATGTATAGTTATTAACTCAATGTTAACTAGTTTATTTGTTTTGTCCCACATTGCTAGTTACTAACTTAAGGGTAACTAATGTACATATATATATATGTGCCTTTAGGCTGATGAATAAAGCAATCCCGCAAATTACTTTGAGAGATCTATACGTTTGTCTGGCGCAGGAGACTGCAGTTGCGCCTATGGCTAGACGGTGTTTATTTACCTGTTGCAATCTCTTGCAGCCAAATGCAGTGTCCAGGTGCCGGTTGCTGTGTCTAAAATTTCTGAACAAATTCAGCGTTGCAATAACAAATGTTGTGATTAGCCGCATAGATCAAACACGCTGCTCACAAACGAACAATATTTGGCTGTGTATGGCTTCTAGCCACAAGTCGCAGCTGCAGCCAGAGCCGGTCCTGAAATTTTTAGACTAGAAACAAAGAACAAA